TGCGGTGGGGAAGGGGGAGGATCGCGGTAGAGGTGCATGGAGGAATCTGACCTTGGCATCAGGGAAGACTCGCAAAAGGATCATTTCGAACGAATCGAATTTGGTCGGTATTACAGTTAGATACCTGTTGGATATAGAGGGTCATGGAGGAATCTGACCCTGGCAGTAGGGAAGACTGGCAAAGGGATGATTTCGAACGAATTTGGTCGTTATTACGGTTAGATACCTGTTGAATACAAGGGAAGTTCTCGTATGAGTATGACATCAGGGAAGACTCGCAAATGGATCATTTCGAACGAATTTGGTCGTTATTACGGTTAGATACCTGTTGGATACAAGGGAAGTTCTCGCATTAGCACATGACCAGGATGATGACCTCAGCTTCAACTTCACAACTCTTCCTCTTCACAGTCATGGGAGCTGGGATGAACCGTGCTCTGCATATTTACGCAGACATCCCACTGCCCATCCACTTCAACGTATGCAGGTTCGTACTAGGCTTAGGCGATAGAGAGAGACCACCTTCCATAGGCCACCATCTCTATGCTTTACTGTCACCTTCCATAGGCCACCATCTCTATGCTTCACTGTCACCGGAAGCCTTCTCGCTGGTAGGCAGTGTCGTCTCGGACCTGACTGCATATTGAAGAGTAGATCTCGGAACGCCTTCTATCTATCTTTTTCACCACAGTGACTATCTATCCTTCACCACAGTAATTCTTGTGCCGCTCTATTTCTTCTTCTTCTTCTTGAAAGCACTACGCTACCGTAGCGGTGACTTTCTACGTCTTCCGGAAGGAGTGCAGCTCACTGAGCTCAGGTAATACGACATCGCTAGCTAGGACAGTTGAGCATCCAAGGGTTTTTCTGTGCAACAGTGTGTGTATCAAGATGAAGGACGAGGTGCTTATCGAGGAGAAGCCAACGTTGGCTGGGATCGAGGTGGCCAATGTCAACCCTTTGGGCCTGACTGCCTTTGCGCTCACCGCATTCACCATGTCCATGTTCACCACGGGTCTGCTGCCGGAGTCTGTCAGCAACGTCGGCTTGGCGATGGGCTACTTCTTCGGCGGGGCGGGCATGCTTCTTGCGGGGGTGTGGGCGTTCTTTGCACGCAGCACCTTCGGCGCCACGGCCTACTGCTCCTACGGCTTCTACTTCCTCGCGTACACCTACTACACGGTGGAGATGGAGAAAGACGCGGCCAACCCCGACAAGACCCACGTGGCGCTGGGCGTGTTCCTGCTGGGGTGGACCATCTTCACGATCTGCATGACCATCATCTCGTACAGGACGTTCCGCGCTCTGTTCATCATGTTCGTCTTCCTGACGTTCGATTACTTCTTCAACATGGTAGGCGCATGGGCGGACTCGACGAGCGCTACCAAGGCGGGAGGCTGGTTCGGCCTGATGGCAGCGGCGACGGCCTTGTACTGCGCCATGTCCATAGTCGTAACGGACACGTGGAAGGAGGAGGTGCTGCCACTAGGACACTACAAGGCATAGAGCCACGCGTACGAAGCACCACAATCACCTCGACTGGACAAATTGAGACAGCCGAGGATGAGCAACAAGAACTTCAAGTAGAAGAGACTGCAGAGTAGAAGCTGATTGGAGTAGGATAAAGTCGGGCAAACGGCATAGGATAAACTCGCCATTGATATAGTCTCAGTAATGACATACGTCGACATTGATAGTGACTGTCTTAGGAATACAAGCTTTCCAAAGGCTAGGGATCTTCCGGCGAGCATAACGCACTCTGAAAATGAAATTCAATGCACACAAGTAGTTGTTTACTTCTTTTTGGTCGCAATTGCGGCCAGATGCATACAAGTACGGTCGTAAATGTGGTCAGGTGCATTTAAAATAGTGGTACGAGTGAGCACGGCCTTAGATTCGGTAACTCGCTTATGCCTTTTTTTTTTTTTTTTTTTTTCTGGTTGGCGATGGACGTAACGAGTGTGAGGTAGGCGAAGGACCGAAGGTGAGGTACGGGAGGGGTGTGTAGGTAGTTTATCTTGCGGATCGATGAAAGTGCGGAGGACAAGCGAGCACCAAGGGGAATTCATGTAGCCTGGATTTTCAGAATCTGTTGGATGTAAATATTTAATTTTTTATTGTTTTGACAATTTGGGCTTTCCTTTGCGTCGAAGCTGACGCGCTAAACTGAACTCTGTGTCTCTGGGAGCCTGTAGGCTGTGGAAGGGGAGTCGAACATGTCAAGGAATCCGAGCTTGAGTGGGCATCGAGTTCCTCTCTTAGCCTGAGCTATTCTATTCAGTTGACACAGTGTACCATTTTTATACCGCTTCTTATATTAGACTTATAAGACCCACTCGAAACTGTTATGCAAAAAGTGAGCAGCGTGCTCTCTCTCTCTCTCTCTCTCTCTCTCTCTCTCTCTCTCTCTCTCTCTCTCTCTGTGTCTGCGTGTGTGTGTGTGTGTGTGACGTTTTCGTGTGTGTTTTCCCCATGTACCACTGTCGTGCGGGCTGTGTGACGGCCTGTCGGCAGTGCCTGAAGCTAATCTATTTTGCATGTTTACCTCAGACGATTTGCTTTTGCCCTCGCCTGTCGCCGGTGTCGGCAGTGCCCGAAGCTTGTTTATTTTTAATGTTGACTTTTTCTCGGCTGTTTGGCTAAGATGAAGTGTAGTATCTGTTGTGATCAGTTTTTTGAACCTTTGTCTGATCGCTGGTCTATCGGACCACACGATAATAAAGGGGAGAAGCTTTAGAAGCTAGCAATCCCTTCTTTGTGAGGTAGCTAGGCTTGCACGGATCTATATATAGAGAGAGACCCTCTCTATATAGCGGTAGGAGCAGTTGTTGGTAGCTAGTGGAACAGGTGAATGAACAGCGAATCTGAGAGGAGAACATAACCGTTACGTAGTAGTTCAAGAAAATGAAAAATGGAAAGAAAGAGTTATGTGTCATCAGAAGGGAAGGATAACCTCCCTCCCCTTTTTCTAGCACATGTCCCTTCCAGCGGGGTGGGCGCATTACCTGTGGCATCTCTTCTTCTTGGTCGTCTTTCTCCAGTCACATTGCTATGCTAACCTCGTGGACATACGAGCCGCCTGAGAAGTGAGCACGACTGATCTCATTCTAGCATGAATATCGCACCAGTGTGGTGGTCGCCCCTATTGTCTTCACCGGAATAGAACGCCCGGTCATTATAGCAGCCGTATTTGGCACAACTTTCAGCCCACATACGGGGATAATTACCGGGCGTTCTATTCGGGTGAAGACGGTCGTCCTACTAAGAATACCGTAACCGGCGTAACGGCATTCCGAGCGTCCTCTCTCCTCTCTTTCCCCGCCGGACCGACCTGTTGTACACTTTTTTTTTTTTTTTTTTTTTTTTTTTTTTGGGGGGGGGGGGGGGGGGGGGGGGGGTGGGGGGGGG